TGGTGAGATCGGACATTTTGTTGCGCTACGTAAATCAGTTAAGGCCCGCAGACTGCGCTGATGTGTGTAATCCTTGTCCGTATGTATCACTGGAATTATTCTGGGCACATTTGATATGCCAAAACAAAGTCCTGAAACCACAATTCCGACGCCACGATCATCTGTTCAGCCGCATAGACTATCGGGTCGAAAAAGAAAGCAAACGGTAACATTATAAGTGGAACCGCGGCCCAAGTCTTACCTTCCAACTTAACGGGGGAACTGTTAGGAGCCGTCCTAACCAACTCGTACGCATGCTACCCTAACGACGCGCTCACATGTTGTCTTACTGATCCGAGCACACGGCGTGTGCACGTTGATATTGCGCCAGCCAGGGGCAAGGTTGGTGAAGTGCTCAATATCTCATTTAAGTCAGAATTCCAGTCGACATGCTACCAGCTCAGGGTCATGATTTAATTGGCTCAATTCCAGGCCGGTCTTGAAAATTTTTTATTCCTTGTCGCCAGATTTTCGCTATCAAGTCTCAGTGATCAACTTCCTGTTCTTCCCCTCCCCCCCTTGCTGTTGAGTTCTCAGCTGGGATTTCGTTCGCGGAGAGCTGTATAACGGGCTATCAGCTACGCGCTCCGACAAGAAGATAAGAAAAACAACGTCAGTTGCAGTCTAATCTCGTTAAGGCAGATGCGGTAGTGCAGTTTGTTAGTCGATGGATGTGTGCATGTGGATGACTCAGGGTAGACAGGCCGTCAATAACACTGAAGGCACATGCACTTGACAGTTTCCCCAGACTACTGGCATCTTTACTAAACAGTTACCTCTCCAATCAAATGGGTCCGACATATGGGAACACCAAATAGTACAGTAAGAACTTTATAGCTTTAACAGACCATTCGAAGCCAGGAAAATTGTTTACGCAGTCTGCCAACGTTCAGAGATCCGTCGTTATGTGTTGCGAATGGGGAGCTTTTCGCCGAAACAGATTTAGCACTTCTGACCTTGCAGTACGTGTATGCGACCCTCCACTATTAGAGCGTTCTCATGTGAGCCCCACGCAATAAAGGCACCGCTGCGCGGCTGCTAGTTGCGATCGAGAGGGAGCCCCAAGGCACAACGGGGCGAGTGTGTTCCGTAACACGGTAAGTGAGCAACGCTGCGCAAAAGGAATCTTTGAGTCATTGTCTTGACAGTTACAGCCTATCGGGTCAGGTAGGTCCCGATTGTCATTGTTCACAAGTCGATGTCTTGATATGAAAGCTAAGGACACACTGCTGCCTACCAAGCCCTTGACTAATGTCTACAAAATGTGTAGGTGTTGCAGACCGTACTATACTGGAAAAGTCGGACGAAAAATGCCGACTTGCATATATAGACACAAACTAACGACATGGAGGTTAATTCCGAAATCTATGCCCGTTGTACACACTGGAGAAAATGGTCATACCTTTGACGTTCAAGCCACGATCATTCTAGACCGAGCTAGTTCAAAGTTAGGATGCCACGCGCTAATGACGTGCTTTTCGACAGTTGATCCTTATATGACTTACAATGTTCCAAAACGTTACTTACATAAACGCCAGGGTAAGGTGGTATGTGCGACTTTCAAACACATCTTTCCGGAGGAACAGCACACCAAAACGCCTAAAATGCAGGAAAATTAAGCGGGGCATCAGAACAAGCTGCTCTACAAGGCTTGCCACGCATCTATAACAAAGCCGAGACAGAACAATGGGAAAAATCGTCCTGGCTAAAGCCGACTGTCTCGGCTGTCAGTGCAAATTTCCGCTTGATTTTGTATGCTAAACGCTCTGATAATGAAGACTCGACTAAGTTCACCGAAACCTCATCAGAACAGTTAATACGTTTCCGTGAAGCATCCGTCCTTCTCTAATAACTAACTGGGTGCCCATGTAACAGAATGAGTCTGGTCAACCGGCCTATTGTGTTTCGACAAGAAAAACGACTGAAGTGTTGATCTAATTATCGGGCTCTTCGAAACCGTAGAGGTGAAAAATAAGGATGCTAGGCGTAATTGTGGTCCAATCCAAGACATACAATTTGTACACATTTTACTTATTTCAAATCTGGCATTCACATAGGCCGGAGAACAACTTGTCATGGACGATGGCTTTTAGCAGTTAAATAGACGCAAAATTCGTCAAGTGGAGCTGCCACAAAAGCAGACCTAAGGGAGCCTAAGGAATTAGGCACGGTTAGTCGTTTGCGGTTCAGCAACACAGTAAACAACAGGAAACAAATACACTCATTTTAGTAACCACCTTTGAAGAGGAGCAACCCTCCCCAGAAGAGGTTGCAGGCAGTCTGACGCAGTCCCCATTAAAAAAGAATTGGCTAAGTGCACTGTGCTATCACTCATCCATGCGTCCCTTGCCCGGTCCTGGGCATTATTCGAATGAACTGTCCACCAGGCGCCGACATCAATAAACCGATAATCGAATCCAACAAGTCCACGTGTACCGCTAACTTAAGAATTTCTGTAGTCCGCGAAACGAATTTAGAAGATTGAAGCGTTGTCATTTTCATGAGGGTCCACACGTAGCGGGTGCCAGGAAAACCTAGGAAACAGCAAATACATTCAAATTTAGTTCAGCGTTAAGTCCACTATCAGTAATGACCGTCAAGGTGATCTTTGTAGGGGAAAGGGGTGAGGACGGAAGATTATTCCCCATGTTAGCTAACACCTAAACGTTATCTCATTCAATTTTTCGGAAAATTTGCGCAGTCATCGCCCGGTACTCATTGTAGTTGACTATGGCAGCCCACGCACGCAAGCTGTGCAAAGCACACATTTCCTCGAGACACAAAGGATGTGCAGTCAGAAGGTCAAAATTGTTAGTGTTATGACCCGTCCTGGTATTCAGAAATCACACGAGGCGTATGCGCACCCAACCGTTGTCCCCAATACCAACACGGCAGAGGAGAACATGATCGGTCACGGAAAAATGTATTATAAATTTGCAAGTCATTCTAACTGGAAAAATAACGCGTATTTGTAACATCGTATTGGGGTTCGTCTGCATTCGGTCCAATGCACTTCGAGTGGAGAATTCTAGATGAGCTGATCGATTTCTCGCGCGCACGGACAATCAGGTTCGGGGGGAGGGGCCAACGGCGAGGCGCCACCATCATGCTGACGGCGTGTTAGAGAAGGTGCACGTGGCCCCCAGTGATTGTCTGGCCCTTATTTTGGGCGTGTAGGCACTCCTAACAGTTAGAAACTAAAATCCCTCGTCAAGTTGCCGGGAGAATTTCATCATTGAGCGGTTGCAAAAACAATTGACGCCAAATTGTTTATGATATTCTGTGAAGACTACTTGAACTAGACAGTATGTAGGTGTTCCCATGCCCTGCCGTGCATATCACTCTAAACTCTTCCTTACTTTCACGTTTATGGCAATTAACAAGGAGGTGACCACTACTACCGTAGATCCTCCTTTAGACAAAAGAGACTATGTTGCCATGAATCTCATTATCGGGGTCAGATCCAACAGGCATGTCTGGCATTACAGGCATATAAATTTGAACTGGTTGTGGAAACCTCCTGGTAGATATGGATTCCCGATTACGTTGACGAGCCTCAAACTGAAAAGGTATTTCAGGTAGGCGAGCGCCATGAAATCTCACCCAAGGGAGCATAGCCATCGAGACCTTCTACACATATGTTGAAAGAGCGTTCACCGATCGGGTTACGGGACCTGCTCGTCCTGTTGAGCCTTGAGTCTGGATCTGGGCCACGTAGGCAATTGCACGTCGACTAGTGACATATGCAAAACGAGATTATCGACAAAGACGGGGGAGACTGGGATGGTACTCTCCGGTCTATTAGCCATTACCAGCAACAAAAATACCAGGTGCTCCGAATATGACTAATCGACAGAGAACGGGAAGGTCATGGTTCGTGTCTCGAGCACGGATATAATACAAGGCAGGCATCAAGGCTGACGCAAGCAAGGCCAGCAGGAACAGCCAACAACATACTCTGATGATAAAAACGAGAGCGTCTCCAAAACGTCAGTTCAAATACTATTTGGTCCATGAATTCGCCGTCTCTTCTTCGGGGGATGATGAAAGCGATTTGTAGAGGGAGACTGGGATGGTCATTTCTGGCTTCGTCAGGCAGCCTTACCCAACTCCGGTTTGGGGTATCTGAGGTCCGAACCCGCATTGTTTTGGTTATTAAGCATAAGTAAATCTAACTCAATTAAAACTGAGCCAGGGATTCATTGTCCTGCCAGCCAATATTCCCCATCGTAACCACCATATGTATGTACGTGTATGGGATAGTTCGATTGGCAGGCATAATTCGGAACAGTTAGTCCATGCTGTTGACCAACTGGTTTGACTCCATCCGTCGACAAGGTACCTACTCGTTTATGTGTATCGGTTAGGTGCCCAGTAGCTGGGATAATGCTCCCTTTTATCACGTTTGAAACATCACCTACGCAGTCCTTTCAATTTAAGGGATAAACGAAACGTATCAGTCAGTCCATGAAGTTCGTTACATACTGCACGTTGGTTACATCAAATGAGGCTTGCTTACACGAAGGAAAACGAACGACACTCCAAATTTTGACTAGAGCCCGAATAGGCAAGTAGATATGAAACCGGTTTCAAAAGTGTCTACGAAGCCCCAACGCTTAGCCATCCTCCCCCAGCAGAATATACTTACGGTGGAATCACAGGGCAAGCGTATGACGATCAGGTGAGGTGAAAGCTGGCCCGGTCTTACCACCGCCACTACCGGTGACCCAGGTTTGCAAAATTAATGACAAACGGAAACGCACCTCGAGGTCGTCAGAGGCACACGCCACTTTTTAAAGAGCATGATCAGCTGAGTTTCACAAGGCAAAGCTAGGAAGTAGTCGATGTGAATGTGAGGATCGTTAGCTGTCATTGCGTACAAAATTAGCCGAAGGAAAGAGAGGGGGATTCGAACAGGGTGAGGGGATATTGAAGCAGTGCGTACACGATCGCGAAGACATTCAATGAGCCCCCCGATTGGGATGGATTCGCTTAGGAGGGGAGAGGAATGTGACTGGTTGAGAGGCGCCAGGTGCGAAGGGGTCATGCATCACCATGGTATCAAAGTCTGGGTGGGGGGAGGACTGCGGGTTCTCGAGGTCAACATCACCGGCGTCCTGACCAACCTCAAGACTGGGTGAGTTGCGGCTGTCCATAAGAAAGCGCGTCTCCTCGCCGGAATTCGCCGCTGAGGCGTCGAGGGGATTGTTACCACCGCAGTAACTACCGGAGAAGAGAAGGGTGGAGTCGTCAGCACTGCCAGACGGGTTCTCCGTCGGCGGTGGAATAAAGCCCAGGGTGACACGAACGTCATCCGGTAGTTGGTCGTTCACGTCCAGGAGCTGCTGGTAAAATCCTGCGGCGCGACTGAGGGTCGTTTTCACATTGATTTTCCCACTGAGACTATTTATATACTGGGAAGAACGATAAATGCGGAAAAATAGAAATACCTACAAACACAGAGCACCAACCGGTTGAGAAATGCGACTGGATAACATCATAAAAGTTATGAGTGGGTGAAGAGAGGAGGCGGCTGTGTTATTAAAAGTGACGCCTTAAACTTACGCGAGTTCCAGGAAACAAATTTGCCATATATATATGCCTTCTGTCAGTGAAAACGTTCGGGTCCCATATCTAGTAGGTTTAAGGACTGTCTCGGGAGAAATGGGGTGGACAGTTGGTACCACAGGCGTTTTCATCCCTACGAAAAGACAACAATGTCCGTCCTTTATCTTCCCTGCATAAGACTAGCTTTACTGAAATCCCGCCAGTTTTTTTTACTTCAGTCGTTATGTCTTGAACAGCCTAACGAAGTGCCATCCTCTATCCTGACAAAGGACAAATTTCTACCGAGTGACCGAGGTACGCGGCAAGCTGTCAAAGGGTTAAATCAAAAGCCTATGTAATCTCCTATTACGAAAGGTCTCATTAATTTAGTCTACTAGTCATAAAGAGCAGGCATGCTAGGAAGAACCGTCTCACGCCGTCCGCTGACTGATGAGCCGCCAACTGTCGACAGGATTGGAGGTTTACCCGACCAATTAAAGGAGTCAGAAGCCCTGCTGCAAAACAAACCATGTATGGACACTGATTGGCCAAATGTCGGGCCGACCCCGCATATTCCATATCAGTTACTATTCCCGAATGTTCAATTTGCATTCGTAGGTCCACGTATGCCGTCCCATTCTACCAATTACATAGCTGCGCAGTATACGCCAGAAAATGGCTGGTGGACCTGGCCCACCTGCTCCCCCGTCCACATGTACCGCCGCCGCCGCCATGAGCAGAGATGTCGGCCTATTAAACGCCCCTGGCCTGATGGAACACCCGAAAATTAATGGCAGCGCAACTGCGGGATCAATGTCATTAACCCAAATAAAAAGCTGCCAAATCAGCCTTACCTGCTTGTCCATTCACGCAGAACCTGGGTTTATTTGGCCATATGCGTATGCGTAACAACTATTGCTCACCACCTGTCACACCTTTAGGCACTCAGACAACTAGCTAACGTAAGTTCATTCGTCATAAACCGTGAGGACGGGACACAGCGGTGACTTGCGCACCAGCCCTGCTAGTGTGGATCAGACTGGTGTTGTGTATATCTAGCCATCTGTTCTCACAACATCCGTTTCAACAGCAAGAGAGAGAAAAAACGACTGAAGGTAGGCTACATGATATTCGACCTTATTTACGTCGAAATATTCATGTATACATATAGGTAAATATATATGCATGACGTAGTGCCGACAAAGACAAGGGAGACCGGAGTGGCCATTTCTGGCTTATTAGCCGTCATCAGCCAGTCACAGCCAACCCCAAGTGTGGATCACTTGAGATTCGAACTCGGGATCTTTGGTCATTACTTGTTAGAGAAGCAGCAGGGAAGCCAGTGCCAAAAGCATGAAATAAGGAATTGACATTACTTGGTTTTTTACGCAATGCCTTGATGCCATTTGACACTTGTCTAAAGACTGGGAAGAAAATGTCGATAGGTAAAAGACTAACCTATTGCTGCGGAGTTAAATGATTCAGGCTGATAAACGCAACCTTGTGACATCCATGTAGACCCGGTCGCGTTTGGAGAAGGGAAAAACACCAGTAGATCGTATTCTGTAACAGAAACCCAGTGGCGGTCAGAGCCTCCCTGACCTCTGAACCTGCGCACACGTCTCCCCGCTAGGGTGACGTGGGTCTAGATGTATGAGCGTCATGTGACGGTTATGGGCTTATAATTTGGCTCTGAGACTCCCACCTAGATCCCTTGCGCTGTTGGCTGCCCGTCGATATGCGACTGCTTACAAAGGCGCCAGGCCCAGAATCCCAGGGACAAAGCAAAACGCCCGTTCTTAGAATCAGCATGGAGCCGTCAGTGCGAGACTTTGGATAAGCCCGACTGTAGCCGACGAAGCGTGAGCTCTAGGCTTACCTGGCAGAGTCCTAGGCCCAACAGCCAAATGGACTCTGGATGAAGATGACTACTACCGGCAAGTAAGCCGGAAATGGTCATTGCGGTTCCGTGTGTCCTTTTTGGTAATACTCCCCGTTCACTGAAATTAGTGGTCAAACGCCACCAAAGTGGGAGACCGAACAGCTATATGAAGGACATGACCGAAGTGCGCACGAAAATGTTAGAACGGCAACGAAAAAAGACGCGACTTCTAGAACATGGCCTAAATATCAGGGGGATAACGTGTGCACATAGGGTAATTATTTCGAAATGAAAACTAATTGCAAATTTTTTTGGTGGATGCGCTGACGAGGCTGCTGGAGATGAAAGGCGGTGATATGGAAACTTCACGAAACAGTGAAGGTATTCATGCTGGGTAAGTTGGTCGTTTTGCCAAAAAATTGCCAGTACTCTGATACAAGCCGGTAACGCGGTTAGTACATATTGGGGGCTCACGAATGATGGTTGCTAATGTTCTTTCTGTTTTCAGAATTCGAATAAGTCAGACAAGTGCCTCACCGCGATAATAGAGAGGACTGCAAAATAACTACCTGCTAAATAATATCTTTCAATGTGCACTTTTATAATAGTTTGTGAATAACCAGATGTTTGTGGCCTGAGAAGACGATAGCCGAGACGAACGCATTATTAGCTCGGGAGAACTTTGGGCTGGTTATCAACACGCAGAAGACGGTGGTGATGCATCAGCCGCCTCCCAGCTCAGCCACAGCCCCCAACGCGCCGCAAATCAACGTGAATGGGCCTCAACTGCAAGTGGTAGAGAACTTCCCGTACCTGGGCAGCACGCTCTCCCGCAACACCAAGATCGACGACGAAGTCGCCAACAGGATCTCGAAAGCCAGTCAAGCCTTCGGTCGCCTCCGAAGCACAGTTTGGAATCGTCATGGTCTCCAACTGAGCACAAAGCTGAAGATGTACAAGGCCGTCATCCTGCCGACGCTACTGTACGGAGCGGAGACCTGGACGGTGTACACGAGGCAGGCACGTCGACTAAACCACTTCCACCTCAGCTGTCTCCGCCGCATCCTGAGGCTGAACTGGCAGGACCGCATCCCCGACACCGAAGTGCTGGAATTCTGAGCATCTACTCCATGTTGAGACAAATGCAGCTGCGCTGGAGCGGCCATCTGGTGCGCATGGACGACGAGCGACTACCCAAACGACTCTTCTACGGAGACGTGGCGACGGGTTCTCGTCGTCAAGGAGGCCAAATTCGCCGTTACAAAGATACTCTGAAGTCCTCCCTGAAGCGCCTGCACATCAACCCAACCAACTGGGAAGAGCTCGCCCGCGATCGTCCGACATGGAGGAGAACAGTGAAGACGGGCGCTGCTATCTACGAAGCCAACCGCATCGCCGCCGCCAAAGTGAAACGCGAAGTCCGCAAATCACAACTTCGCCCAATACGCAACGCCGCCGCACAACCTCTCCCTACGTGTCCTCGATGTCAACGGACATTTCGGGCACGAATCGGACTTGTTGGACATCTTCGAACCAACTGCACCTCTCGAACTGCTCCAGCCATCGTCCCCGCGCCCGCCTCTTCCTCGTCCTCTCTTCCGCCAACTAACTCTGACACTCCTTCTGCACCACCACTTCCATCCTCCTCCTTCTCCTCCACTGCCCCAGCGGTGGCCGTTCAGGCTGCCGTCTCACACATCGCCAACCACGACACAGCAACCGCAACCACCCCCGCCTGCCCTCACTGCGACCGCACCTTCACCTTACACAACGGCCTGGTCGGCCACTTGCGAATCCATCGCACAGAGTCTGGCGAACCAGTGCCTGGAGCACCAACCTACACTCACCGCACTCGCCTCCACTGCCCACACTGCCCTCGCACCTTCACGCATCGCATGGGTCTATTCGGCCACATGCGCATCCACGAGAGCGGCATTGATCGCAATTCCGATACAGCCACGACATCCAACACGCCCAGACCCATTCTCGCCCCACCGTCACACGCGCCGACCGCCACCACCGCCACCACCAACACCACTGCTTCCTCTACAGCTGACACCGACACCGCCGACCTCTCATGCCCACATTGTCCATGCACCTTCACCTCACGCATCGGCCTGGTCGGTCACTTGCGAATCCATCGCACAGAGACTGGCGAACCAGTGCCTGGAGCACCAACCTACACCCACCGCACTCGCCTCCACTGCCCACACTGCCCTCGCACCTTCACGCATCGCATGGGTCTATTCGGCCACATGCGCATCCACAACGACCTGCGGTAGACAACCGCCGGTCACACCACACATTCCCTCACTCCCTACCTCCTAACATCATCACCCCACTAGACGTCAACCCTCACACACCTCATGCACTCAACTGCCGCCTCCCACGCAAGTGGGAAGTGTGCATCTCAACTTGGTCCCCATGCGGCCTCGGCTGCACGAGTGACTTGAGTCCGAGACTATCCCGACACGTCAAGTGTCGTGGATAGGAAGGTTGCTGATTGACGTCCGTTCTCGGTTCACGCAGTTCGTCACGTTGTGTGTGTGTGTTGTGTAGTGGCGGACTGGTGGGCTGGGGACGGGCTGAAGCAGCACCTTCCACGGCCCTCTCACGCATGTGAGAGACACGCCGTTCAACCCCCGTTGTGTGAAGTCCTGGTGTTTGTGTGTATGGGGGGCCAGGTCGTGCTGTGGCGCGCGCAGGCATGGTCAGTCGACCATGTCAGCCACCGCGCCCATTCCCCACTCCAGTCTACCGACCGGCTCGGACAGTGGCTGGGGTGTGGGAATGGGAAGGGAGAGTGAGGTCGACGACTCAGCGCATTTTCCTCACTATAAACAATCTGACGCGCTTGAAGCTATCACGGTGCGCTAAAAGCCGTGGCTTGGAAGGTTGCCAACTGACGGGGTACCTTGGACCTCCTCCATTACTGGAGGCGGTCTGAGAGTCAGGCTGTAATGGCTCCTTTTTAATGTGGCCTTTATGGCATTCCCACCACAGTGTGGGATCCGAGCCAGGCGTTGGCGGCACGCCCAGGTGCGGCTTCGGCCGTGCCAGCCTCCAAATCTATGTTGTGTTGGTTCAAATCCTGGTTATTGTTGTGTGGACCAGGGGGTGTGGTGGAACGCCAAGGTGAGGATCCGTCCGAGCCATCCACCTGCGGCCTCCCTCGTCTCCGGTCTTCTTGACTCTGTCTTGACACCGGGCGCAGGCGGGGGAGGAGGAGAGAGTGTAGGTAGATGCTACGCAAGTCTACTGGCACTATAAACCCCTGCGTAAGTCACCGTCCCTGCTTCCACCGCAGCTGCAGCTGTGGGGCACACGGTGGACATCGTCGAAATCGACGGTCGAACTGTCATTAGCTCGGGTTAGATGCACACCCTAAGACGCAGTTACCACGCGGGGGCAAGTCCGTGCTCGAGTCATCGATGACCCCGCATTCATCATGGATGTTCGGAATCGGCGCACTGTTGGGTTGGGAGTAATGTCCACACATTCCTCCAGTGCAATCAGGTTTATGGGAGGCATCGCTTATGTTGTACAAGATGGCGGGGAATTGCAAAACAGTTCGCACCCCTAGTGGTTGTCACCTTTTAGTAAGATTTCAACTTCGTAGAACCCAAATGCATGAGCTGGTTGTGTGAAGTGAGCCGAAACCTGTAGTTTAATCAGACTTTACCCTCTTTTTTATGCGCTTCCGGTCATTTAAGCCCAGAGTAGGCTCCCCATTGACTCGAGATATTAACCGTACCCATCACTATATCCGGTCCGGTAAACAACTGCGGTTTGTCATGACCCCGAACTTTCCAGAGTTGTCTATGCAGCGTATCCTGCCTGGGCCGTCAGGACATCATGCCACAAACGCGTGACAAGCGAACGATCAAGGTCATGGCCCCCTGTTCACACCGTCTTTGTGCTGATTGGCCACCCATCAGCCTATGACAGTCCCCCTTGCCATATACCCGGCCATTTCCACAAGCCTCCTCACTTGTGCTGTCTATCGTACTCAGTACACGTCCTATTTCCAATTAGCCTTCTGTTTTGCATACATAACATTGGCGACGCAGCCTAACGAACATGTCTTCATTGCTGCCTACACCGCTACCTTTTTGGCCAAAGAACACCCCGAAGCCCTCAAATGACTCGTGGTTGCAATGGAGGAAGACATTTGAGGATTATATTGAACTACTCCCGATTTTGTCACCCACGATTGTATTAGACGTCCCATCTAAGTTGAAACTCCTCCGGACGAATCTCGGAGAGTTGGGACAACGATATTTCGATGCCCTCAATCTACAAAAGGCTACAGATCTCCAAACAGCCTTCTCAAAACTCGAGTCAGCGTGGGGAGGAAAGGACAACGTCAATAGTGGTGAAAATGCGATTCCCGGGTGGCATATCAAAAGAAGAGGAGGCGTTCACCGGGAGAGGTGTATTTGAGGTCTGACGTTTCGGGTAGTCGTTTCTTCTACCCATCTTCAGAGACTGAGCAGTCGTGCACACAGCTTTCCTTTTTATGGCGCACTTTGTTCAAAGCCTGGCCCATCAATGCCGCCTGTGTGGCTGCATCCGACCCGCGGCCGACGAAGATGGGCGGGATTCAGGTCACGGTGACATGCGGGTCGGATGCAGCCACACAGGCGGCATTGATGGGCCAGGCTTTGAACAAAGTGCGCCATAAAAAGGAAAGCTGTGTGCACGACTGCTCAGTCTCTGAAGATGGGTAGAAGAAACGACTACCCGAAACGTCAGACCTCAAATACACCTCTCCCGGTGAACGCCTCCTCTTCTTTTGAAAGGACAACGTCTTTCTCAGTCGCTATCGGTTTTGTCAAATGCGTCAAGAATCCAATCAATGTGTCAGTGATTTTATTACTAATCTGACTCTGGCCATTCAGGACTGTGGGTATAAAGAGATCAAGGCAGACAACTTCGAGCACGCAATGCTCGTTCAGCAGTTGATCGTCGGTCTACGCGATGAAAAAGCTCGGGAAAATCTCTTATCAGAGAAGAAGGATTTGTCATGGGAGAAAGCCTGTGATATTGCCAGTCATCAGGAGCGCGTGCGACAAAACCTTCAGCAGCTGAATCAGTCAAACGATGAAGTGATAGCATCCTTGGAATCAGAAATGGCTGTCTCCCTGGTCAACACTGCTGTGTCTTCACCTAGACAGCGACCCTCAGCTCCCTCAAAACAACTACCATCATGCTACCGTTGTGGCCAGCATCATATCCGGTGGTCAGACTGTAGACACCAGAAGACGGTATGCCAGTTTTGCAAGAAAGTCGGCCACATCAAACGAGTGTGTTTCTCCAAAAGACGTGCGAATAGTAACACGCATGCGACCTACCCTAGTCCAGCTGGGGATGGTGAGGCGATACTCCGAATGTTTCCGGCCAACGCTACTCTCCAATCCCCCTACACCATCACGCTTCCGGTTGATCACCATCCCGTGAAGTTTGAAATCGACACTGGCTCAGCTGTTACTCTCATCAATGAGGCCTCTCTTCAGAAAGTACCCTCCCTCCTACCGGCTAGCTCAACATTGCGTAGTCACACTGGACAGAACGTAGACTTTCGAGGGGTCTTTACAGCCGAAGCCGAACATGATGAAGAACTTCATTATTTGCCGGTTCATGTGGTGAGAGGAAGCCAGCAACCGAATCTCCTTGGACGAAATTGGATTAAATGTGTGCCTTCTGTGCTATCCTATGTACATCGGATTGGCGTAAATCCGGCTTTGGATTCAATTTTGGTAAATCATAAGGATCTATTTCGTGACGATTCAGCTACCCACTACCGCGGTCCACCTGTTAAGTTTCAGTTTCAGTCAGATTTCCGGCCCCGGTTCTTCAAAGCTCGTACAGTCCCCTATGCACTCGCACCGAAGGTCGAAGAAGAGCTGGATCGCCTACAGAAAGCGGATATTATTTAGCCCGTGCAATATTCGGAATGGGCAGCCCCAATAGTTCCTGTTCTTAAAACCGATGGTTCTGTGCGTATCTGTGGCGACTACAAGCTGACAATCAACTCAGCAACTAAACTGAACCCTTATCCTCTCCCGCGCATCGAGGATCCGTACGCATCTCTCTCGGGTGGTCATCAATTTACAACTTTGGACCTAAAGCATGCCTATAACCAAGTCGTCCTAGATACTGAATCCCGAGACGCCACCACCATCAATACGCATCGGGGCTTATTTCGATATAAAAGACTACCATTTGGAGTAAGTTCGGCTCCCGGTTTATTTCAATGCTTGATTGATAATCTCGTGAAGGATATACCTCACGTTTGCGCATATCTTGACGATAAATTATTTACCGGCCCATCTGAACATAGTCATCTAGAGACTCTAAACATCGTGTTAGGACGTTTAGAGGACGCCGGTTTTAAACTCAGGAAAGATAAGTGCACTTTCCTTGCCGACTCGGTAGAATACCTGGGCTTCAGGGTGGATAAAACTGGCCTCCATCCACTCGAACATAAGCTCAAAGCCTTGAAGACGGCGCCGCGCCCAAACAATACTAGTCAATTGCGTTCATTCCTGGGGTTGGTCACCCACTTTAGTCGCTTTATGAATCAATCGGCTACAATTCTCAAGCCTCTTTATCGACTACTTGAAAAGAATTGTGGCTGGCACTGGTCAGAGGTCGAACAAAGTGCTTTCGAACAGGCAAAGGCGGCTCTTACCTCCTCATCTGTCCTAGTTCACTATGACCCCGAAAAGCCTATAATACTGAAATGTGATGCGTCTCCGTACGGCGTAGGTGCGGTTCTCATGCATCGAATGCCTTCGGGTTCGGAGATGCCGATTGCTTTTGCATCAAGAACCATGTCACAGGCGGAAACCAACTATTCGCAACTAGACAAAGAGGCCTTAGCAATAATGTTTGGCCTAAATCGGTTCCACCTGTAACTTTTTGGCCGACACTTTGAAATTCACACTGATCACAAACCCCTCTTAGGTTTGCTGGGAGAAAAACGAGGGATACAACAGATGTCCTCGCCAAGAATGTAACGATGGGCACTCACTTTATCTGCTTACACGTATGCAATGAAATACGTTACAGGTAGTGCAAACGTAGTGGCTGACGCCTTGAGTAGGCTTCCTATCGTGGACGATGGCATTAACGGGGCACCTGTTTTTGAGACCGTGAATCTTTTGCAGAATCTAGTCAACGCGCCTGTAACCTGTCAACAAATTCGACAGTGGACATCGAGAGACCCTCTCCTAAGTCGGGTAAAAAGAGCCTTACAATCTGGCTGGCCGTCCTCTACCTCCTCTGATTTTCAACCATTCTTCAGCCGTCAGAACGAGTTAAGTCTACAAGACGGATGCATACTATGGGGCAATCGTGTAGTTGTGCCACCACAAGGCCGACGGGCCATCCTCAGAGACCTGCATAATGCTCATCCTGGTACAGTTAGAATGAAAGCTCTCGCCCGCAGCTATGTTTGGTGGCCCAAAATTGACGCAGATATAGAAAACGTGGTGAAAGCATGTCACGTGTGCCAAATAACACGGAAGACCTTACCGAAGGTTCCTCTGAAGCCTTGGGCCTGGCCCGACTCGCCGTGGAAGAGGGTACACGTCGATTATTTTGGGCCATTCCAAGGCCATATGGTTTTGGTGGTAGTTGACGCCCACACTAAATGGATTGATGCGATTCCGACAGGAAATTCTTGTTCCTCACTGACTACAATCAACAAGTTGCGAACCGTCTTTTCTACTTTTGGGATACCTGAAATGGTCGTTTCAGACAATGGCCCGGCCTTTACTAGTGCAGAATTTAAAGATTTCATGGATAAAAATGGAATTAGACATTTAAC